AGATAGCATATTCTTATTCCACAAGTACCAAGGAATAAGATCATTTTGAAAAATAAAACTGAGCCTGTTTTCAAGGTGGAGATGTTTTCAAAGTATAGGTAGAATAGAAATAAAATACGGAAGGAGATACTGCATTTTAAATAAATAAAAATTAAACACCTAGTTATATCACATGAAATAGTAAAGTTAGATTTCTCTCAGGGCTGATGTCTGGATATGTGGCTCTAGAAGGCCATGAAATCAGAATACTTACAATAATGCTTGAAGTGGGAATAAGATGTGGTTTTGACTCTATCATGATTCAAATCTAAATTCTCAATAACCTGAACTGTTACGCTTTTATTAGGAAATGGTTTATCTTACTTTAATATTTATTATTAAGTGATTTCAGATTTTCTGTTATAGTAATGTTCTTTACATTTTCTTCAAAAATGTTCTATTTAATCTTGCATAAACCTCACAAGGTTTACATGGGCTGGATAGGAAGGCAATAGTTCATCAATAAAGAAAATGAAGTACAGAGATACAAGGTGCCCACATGAGATCATCTTTTCATTTCATGACAAAGCTGGAGGTGGCATTTACATACCTGAGGATCGTTTATTATAAGGTGTTCCTTCTAAATCAGAGAAAGACCATTCGGTAACCATTGGTGTTATATATAGTTTTCCATTGGATTATTTTTTCAAACAGTAAATTGAAGTGATATACTCCCTCCTGGTACCAGAGAAAGACACAAAATATGATAGTTGTTTCATATGTCAAGTTTAGAAAAGCATGACAATGTAACAGGAAGTAAATGTAGAAAAAATGTGTACTTGTCATGAAGTTGTAGGCTGAATTCCAGTATTTAGCTAGAATTTTTATAGAAAAGTGTAGAGTTGAAACAAACTAGATAATTAGTATGCCACCTTTAAAAAACAAAAAAAGCCTGATATGTCAAATATTCCTTGGATGTGTACATTTGTATACTGTAAGTAAGTGTAAGATATATGTAGCCATGTGAAATGGATGCTTCGGTGTAGTACTTTTGTCGCTGCATGGGAATTGTGAATTTCAGTTTGCCCCGAGTTCGGGTTGATCCTGTTCTCGATTACTTCCCTGGTCTTGGGGCACGGGCCCGACACTCGCAGCTTGCCAAAGAGAGGCCTGCTGTGGCTCACAGTTTCCGTGCTTGTGTGCCAGGCTTAGCCTCGGAAACGGCGAGGAGGAAAGATGCTTACGCCTGGGCGGTCAGGAGCAGAGAGAGAAGGAAGCAGCTGGGAGGGAGACAGACGCTTCCAGGCCGCAGACTCAGTACTCTTCGGGCAAGACCCTGCCTCCTCGTGGCAAGCCAGCTGTCGTGCCCTCAGTGCAGTCCTCTTCCAAAGCCCTGCCTTTTTGAACACAAGAGGCCTGTGGGCCTATTCGTGACATACACCGTGACGTCCCGCCCTGGCCCTCAGTGGACTCGTGTGAATCTCTTTATGCACAGTGCATTTAGTTCACCTGTAAGCGTCACAAGTCTTCATGGTTCTGCATTGCTGAAAATTCCATGTCCCCCATCTCCTCTCAGACTCAAAGCAAACTCTTTGTTGTGACTTGCTGAAAATCAGAAATAAAGTTAAACCTTGGGGCACAGAGCACATATTCCTGTTTCAAAAGGGAACAATAGTGGGGTAGAAACCAGTGGGACCAAAGCAAGGCTGTGGCCTGGCTATGAGCTGGGCAGTCATTAAGGCCTGTATCTCTGCCTCCAGCACCCAGTGCAGATGGGGAGGACTTTCGGCAGCTGCACACCCATGACCTTGGTGCTCATAGCTCTCATCGCCTCTCCCCTACGTTAGCTCTGCTCACGGCCTGTGTCCTTCCTCAGCAGATGTTTAATGTTCCTGGCTTCTCCCAGATTCTGGTGTTTTCACTGAAGTTTTTGCTTTACTCTCATATCTTCATGCACTGCCCTCTCAGGGTACACTCTCTGCCCTACCAGGCCTTCTAAAATCTGGGTGGAAGCCTCCCTGAACCCACAGGCCTGAAAAGCATGGTTGACACCAAGGTCTGCCAGTAGCTGAAGCAGTATGTAGGCCCCCTTGTATCATGACTGAGAGGCCTTCAAATGTCCGGATAGCTGAGGAATATGACTGAATCCCTGGGAGCTAATTCTGTTTGTGGCCCTTCTTAAGCAGGGTGTGCTCTTCTCAAAGCAGTCTTTCACTTTTATACCTTTTAGTCTGGGAAGAGTGGGGTCTTGTAGATACTAGGAATGCATTCTAAGCATCCTTATTCCTTTGACATGATATTAAGTACTTGGCTTCTTTTTAATGCTAATATCTCAGCAACCAAGTTTTCCTCTGCCAAAACTTTTCAGGTCCCAGCTTTACAGTAGCTTCCTAATCACTCAACTGTGATATTTGCTCTTGATTCTAAATACAGAGTTGGCTAAAAGCTGCCATTTGTATCCATGTCACAGCCGCAACATTAAGCTGCCTTGAAATTTTCTCTCAGATTAATTAGTAGGCTGCTGCCCTCACAATCTCCTGCAGAGTCTCAAGACGTGATCAAAATGTGGGCACATTTTCTGCAAGACTATCACACACATGATCTCGAGTCCAACTGTCAGTTGAGTTCTTCGTCCTAACTGAAGCCCTCTAAGCCTGGTCCTCAATATCTGTGTTTTTATCAGCATTCCAGTCTTCTGAGTGCCAACCTAAGTCTGCCCTCAAGCTAAACTTACGGAATCCTAGAGCTTCTCTAGTTGGCATCTCCAAACTTCTCCAAACTCTTCTTGCAAACCAGTTCCAAAAGGCTTCTAAACTACATGGTCAGTTACACTCATAGCAGTGCACTTCTGGTAGCAAAACCTTAGTTACTTTCCTGTTTGCTGAGACACAGTACCTGACACCTGCAACTTAAAGAGAAGTTTATTATAGCTCACAACTTCAGAAGTTTCAGTTGTTTTTCTTTTTTTTTTTTTTTCTTTCTTTTTTCTTTTTACTGTCCCTTTGAGACAGGGTCTCACTATTGCAGTTCAGGCTACCCTTGAACTCACTTTGTAGCCCAGGCCGGCCTCGAACTCACAGTGATCCTCTTGCCTCAGCCTCCCGAGTGCTGAGATTCCAGGCATGCGCCACCATGCCCGACATTGAAGTTTCCGTTTTAAACACAGGTTTAAACACGGAATCAGCATGGTGGGAGGGCCTGAGTGTTGGGACCGTGCTCATGTCATGGCAGCCAAGAATCAGCGTGAGAAGGCAGAAGCCAAGGAGATATGCTTTGCAGGGCCTGCCCCCAGTGGCCAGCCCCTTCTGACCAGCCCGCACCTCCCGCCAGCAAAGGAGCTGCAGTGACCTCGCAGTCCAGCCCCTTCCAGAAGCCCGGCCTCTGAGTGCACCCGTCCTCTGGAGGACTGTCTTAGTTACTTTTCTCTCGTTGCTGAGACAAAATACCCAACGCCCAAAATGAAGGAAGGAGAGGTTTATTTAGCTTGCAGTTTGTGGAGGTTTCAGTCCATACTTGGCTGGCTCCGAGGCAGAAGGTAGCAAACCAACAAGAGCAAAGGGGGGAGTGGCAGCCGAACAGCAAACAGCCAGAGCAAACCGGAGGAATGGCCGCAAGCAGCTTCTTTCCCTCCCTTACATTGTAAACAGGCTACCCCCACCTAAGGGGTGTGTAGCTCTCACATAATCTCCATGCCCTCCTCTTCCACAGGCTCAGGATGTATACAAAGTAAGCACCCTGGCTTCCTGCTGAGTCACTTAGCCAAACCTCTGGACTCCCCAAGTTGACACAGTGTATCAACCATAACAAGGACGTTCTTGATGGAAGGCCCAGCAGCTGTAACAGGCAGCGCTTCTGCTCATGTATGATACCAGTCAGCTGGTACTAAAGAGCTTTTCCCTTAGCAAATTGTACTTGGTGTTTTGTTCTGATACAAACATTGATGGGACATTTGGAGTGTCTTTGCACTTAGTATTCTTCATGCCAAATACTTCTGCTACATAATGTCACCTACCTTGTTTAGATAAATTATCTGTACTTTAATTGATAATATTTTAAATGTAGCAAATAATATCAAATTATTTATTGTCTAATTTGTTTACTGTGTCCAGCGCTGCTTGGCCTTTTGGCTAAGTTCAAGTGCATTTACTGTGTCAGTAGAAGGTGGTTAACCAGGTGATTATTGGTCAAAGTAGTATAAAAAAATGTGTACAGTATTAATTCTGTATTTACCTGGAATATCTCTCAGTAATTGTGTACATATATTTGTTATGCTGTGTAGAATTCTTCCTAAGGATACTTAAGTCACACTTCGTTTGTGGTTTCTCCTCTGATAAGTTGTTGGATACAGGGTATATAGTCTAAAACACATCTGGTGTGGATTCTTTCTGGGTAGAACAGATAGGGTTTTAAAGCAAAGTAAGTACTGACTCTTCTATTTCAAAACCCCTCTCTTTCAGAACCAGAGAATCCTTTTTAAGTGTTTTAGCTGTCGGTTCTGTAAGGTGCTTTATGACACGACGATGTTTAATCTTCAGAGCAAACTTTTAGGTTTGATGTTGTTACCCTAGTCTTACAGGTGAGAGAACTGAGGTGTGGGAAGCCTCTTAGTGCTATGTGGAGAAAAGGTCTACACTGGCTTGTCCATAACGACCAGGTTTTAACCAGAATGATTTTTCTTTCAGTAATGTGAGCTAGCCAGAAGAATTCTGTTTGGGTAAATTTATAATGGTGGTGTTCTACAGCATGGTGTTATGTAGAATGTCATGATAGGATTTAAAGAAAAGACAATAAAATTTGAAGAAATGAAATAGTTGGCCAGAAGCCTAGCAGAGTAGTGACAGATTTAATACTAAGTGGAGGATAGTCTTCTGGGCTTTTAGTTTTGCGTTTGAAGATCTGAGTGCTGTCACGTGTTTGTGTTGTATCTCCTGTGTGCAAACAAAGCAAAGAGCCCGCCAACCAGTTAGCAGAAACTTGTACAATAATAACATCTCCTTTTCTTTTTTCTTTTTTTAATACAGTGGGATGCATCCTGCTTTCATCTCCGAGTTCACCTCTGTGGATTTATCACAGTAGCGTTTGTCTTCAATTTCTGTGCTGTCTAGAAGCCGAGGAAAGACATGAGGAGATTTGTCTACTGCAAGGTGGTTCTGGCCACTTCGCTGATGTGGGTTCTTGTCGATGTCTTCCTGCTCCTGTACTTCAGCGAGTGTAACAAGTGTGATGACAAGCAGGAGCGGTCACTGCTGCCCGCACTGAGGGGTGAGTACTTGGGGTGGAAGGGGAGAAGTTTGACAACACTCGAAACCTCCAATAAGAATTCTTTTGCCTTATTGGATTAGACCAGCGTTTTGGCAGAATGTGCATGTAACCATGAAGAAGCGACTTTTCTTGGCCGTGGGTGTCTGTTAGGAGAAATGAGCAGGGTTAGCTAACTTCTGAGATCCCTTCAGTTGTAATAATTCTGATGCTCCGGTACCTTTGAAAAGAACTGCTTCTTTAAGTTGCGTTTTTATTAATGCAAGCTTGAGATGCCTGCTGAGCACACTCACTGTGCAGAGGGGGAGCATGTGCATGACCTACCTTAGTTCTTTTCTCCGCCCCTTATGTGCACTGGACGGGGCGAAATTTAAAATCTGGGCTGCCAGAAGCTAAATGTGTTTAGGGACCAAATGCATAATATGGAAGGGCCAGACTACTAAGCTGGGACAAGTGGGGACGCAGCACACTAAACAGCATATGAGACTCATGCAGGTTCCCAGAATAGTTTAAAAAAAACCAGTTCTTAAAATCCGTTCATGCCCAGGTTCAACCTGTGAGCTGGTAGATTGCTAGCACTATGTTAAGAGGCAAAGATGATTTCAAGTGTATTGTGAAATCACTTTAGTTCAGTTTCTTACAGAAATCCTTTCAATGGTAACAATTATTTCTAGAGAAGCATAAAATTGGTGTACATCAGGATTTATCAGATAAGGGATACAAATTCATTTTCTGCAAAATGGCTTCCAAAATTTTCTTTATGCTTTCCTTTTTGTTGAGTTCAAGATCTATAAAAATATTTATATTTCAGAATATTCCTTATAAATGAATATTTCTAATACACTTAAGGGGGCTCAAGATGAGTTTGTTCTCACTGAATTAATATGTGTTTTCTGCTTAATGAAAGTTTTCTAGTTTTTATATATGTATATGCAGGATAGTTAACACAGGTGTTCTACTGTCCTGTATTTCCTTGCTGAAAGAAACTGTCAGTGAGGCATTGGTTGACTAGCTTTGTATGTCTATATGTGTTTTCATGAGAAACTACATTGAATATATCAATATGTAATACAATAAGCATTGTTAATTCCCTACCACTCTGTTTGTAACTCTGTAATGTCTGTACTGATCCTTTGCTATTTTGTAAAACGTTGTCGATCTGTTAGTAAAAAAAAAAAAAAAAAAAAGTTTTCTGCATAAATGTGATAAAAGGTAAACTAATTGAGCTGCAGTGGAAGTGTTTGAAGCATTTGGAGAAGCGAATCTAAAGTACCCGGAGCCCAGCTTTGTTTAGATAGTGTATATGCATTTTTATGCCTTTATTCTACAACTGTTCAGAGAGGAGAACTCTGTAAGTTCCTTAGTTTTTGATAAATGAACATGGGAATGATTTGCTGATCTTTCGTTCAAACCCCAGAATAAATCAGCTCTCTGTGCTTCTTTGCTGCAGTCAGTTGAGCTGCTGCTTGGCTGACTGTGGGAATGTGTTTTGATGGACCGCATCAGTTTGGCGTGACCACTTTGTCATTTGTCGAACGGAAACAGCTATACTGGTCCCCAAAAATTAAAACCTGAATCAGCAAAACTATGACAGCCTGTTCTGCAAGTACCAGAAAAGTACGGTTTTGATGATTTGAGTCTGTAATACTTGGTCTCCAATCTCAGAATGTGAAATTTAATGATGTAAGACTAGAATCTTTTTCCTTGGGCTTCAATTGTAAAATTAAACAGCTTTATCTTTATTTATAAGACTTATTGTCTTAGTCCATTTAGATGCCTGTAATGACAAACAGTAGACTCTTTGACTTATTTACAGGAAAAGTGTGTTTTTCACAGTTTTGGATGCTGAGGTGTCCAAGATGAAAGCATGAATAGAGGCAGTGCCTGGGGCCTGTTTCTTATACAGATCTGCCTCCTCACTAACCGCATGTGGCTCACTAGTCGAGGCCATCTCTCTGTGGCAGCTTTGTGCAGGCATTGGTCCTGTTCATGGGGATTCTACCCCCGTGACCTAATCACCTCCCAAAGCTCTACTCTGATGGAGGTTGGGCTTTCATGAATTTGGGGGAGACACAGAGTGAGTTCTTTGACTTTAATGTTGTACATTAATATTATTAGTCTTACAAGATAGAAAGTAGACTAGAAGATTTAAATTTTATTTTCTATTGTTATTTCAGAATAGTGCTTTAGAAATTTTTGGTACATACTTACAATTTTATTTATGGGAGATGATACTGTAGAAAGTACATTTGACAGATATATTCATTCTAAATCTACAAAAAACTGGCTTTTGATTTTAAAAGATATGTCTATGGCCATACCACCCTGAACACGCCCAATCTCATCTAATTTTAAAAGATCTGATCTTTCGGGTTCAGATTAATTCGTTTCTAAATTCCTTCTAGTTTTAAACTTTATATGATTTTTCAGTACCCAATATTACTATATAGTAGGAATTAATTTTTGAGATATTTTCACTTACTTTTCAAGTGCTTACTGTGTGCTAAGTCAGGGGAATATAAATAACTGAGGCCTGTGAAGTTTGTGCATTTAGGATATAAGGGAACTAAGTTCCTGCCTGTCACAGAGTTTATAGTTAATAATAAAATACTTCTCTCTCTCTGCCTCCCTCTGTCTTTGCAGCTGCATATACACACTCATACACCACTTAACAATGGGGCCGTGTTCAGGGAAACATTCTGCTGGCTCTTTGTCCTTGTGTTGGACATGATAAACTGTGCTTACACATATGGGCTTCTTAGGTGATATAATCTGATGGGAGCACCATTGTATGTGATATTCATTGTTGATGTTCCAGTAAAATATGTAAATTCAATAAAAATGTAAAGTAAATTAGAAATTATTTCAAAACATAATAGGTGCTAGGATCAGGATGGAGGATTTGTTAAGTAGAGCAAACTTGATCCAAGGTATTAGACTGAACTTCACTGACTATGTGGCGTTCAGTTGAGGTCTTCACCACAATTGTAGGTAACAATGAAAAAACAAATTACTAAAATTTTTATAGAATAGTTAGATTCCAGAAGTTTCCCCCAGGATACTTCTAAAGGAGAAAGTACAAAGTGGAGATGTGACTACTTAGTTCACATCTTAAAATTTAGATTAGGATTGTAGCTTTGATGCGCAGAGGCACAGGAGAGAACACTGTCCAAAGAAAGAGTCCTTAAATGTCGATGTTCACACTGTGCGCTGTATCACAGAGCAGGTGAAGCAGGTCAGCGGAAAAGGGGCTGTGCAGTTGGTGAAACTCAGAATAAAATGGTTTTCCATGTGGAAAAGTATACTAACCAATATAATGCCAACCAGTGCTTTGAATGTATTACAGACTTAAATATCAAAAACAACATTAAAACGTTAGTAAGAAAAAAATTAGATACCTATAAGATCTTGGATAAGCAAAACACAAGGCATATTATCTGTAAAAGAAAATATTGATTAATTGGACTATTAAAATTGAAAAAGTTGATTTATTTAAATATGCCTTTAAAAGAAGAGTGACAAATAGTAGAAGGTATTCAAAGAATGCATAGCTGATAAATGGTTACTGAGTGTATATAAATAATAGTCATGCTTAGTTATCTGTATATATATTTATATAATTTTCCTATTATTAATATAAAAAGCGCAAATAACCCAATAGAAAAATGAGAAATAGGGCCGAGTAGATACATGACAGAAAGAGAAGCACATATAGCAAATAAACTTATGAAAAAAAAAGAATTGTATTATGATCAGGGAAAAGCACATCAAGGCTTTAATGACATATCATTGATTTCCATTGCGTTGACAAGTAAAAAGCCTGATATTCCACTAGTTAGTGGTGACGTATCTCTGTTTTAATGACAATTTCAAATAAAAATTTAAACATTCCTGAAACCTAAGCATTCACATGACTCAGCACTCATATTTATACACCTCCAAAAAGTCTCCTACATGTATAAATATGTTTATAGTGTTGGTGTTCATAAGAATAAAACTTAAAGCAACGTATGGGCTTATTAGTGGAGAAATCAGTGAATGGATATTGATACATCAATACAAGGAAATACAGTTATAAAAATAAATGAACTGCAGACACTTTCATGAATATGAGTGAATCTTGATAATACCATAAGTATAAAAGCTGTGTCTCTCAAAGGTTATGTATAATATAATACTGCCTGATGATAAAAATAAAGTTTGAAGATGTTCATTATAAGACTATACATGAGACTTTATAAACAAGCATATTTAGCTAATTATGAATGTGGGACTGATGATACTGATTGTGAAAGCAGTGTGGGTGTGTGGATTTTGACAGGATGGGAGCGTTACTGGAGTTCTAGATTTGTTTTGGATATGGGTTTGATGTGCTCATTATTTTCTATGAATAACCAGATGAATGAATAAAATCCACTGAATAGGTTTAAAAAGTGGGAAGCCATTGAATGGATTTAAAAGTGAAAGAAAAGTATTTAGATTTGTGTTGTGGAAGGATCACTGTGGGTACAGTGTGGAGAATGCATTGGAAAGAGCTCCGTCCTTGTGCTGGGAGAGGGCTGTACAGTGGGTCATGGACTTGTGTGGGAGCTGGTACCTGCTCACAGCAGCAGAGTAGAACTGAGGTGTGGAAGTAGGTAAAGTGAAGATGCAAGAGTAAAAACTAGGTGTGTGACAGGATTTGGCAGGATAAGAGAAGGAAGTGTCAAGGAGAAGTCCTGGATTTCTTGTAGGACACTGTATAATCCAGTTTTCAAAGAGAGAACTCAGTATAGGAGATTACTCGAGGAAGATGGACATTAAGTTTATTTTGGGCATGTTGATTTTGAGACCCCCAATAGGCTACCAAATATGATTACTTATAGGGAGTTGGCTATATTATTAAATTCTAAATATAAAACTTAAAAAGCAGTTACTTTTGTGATCATTTTTCTAGAATGGATTTTGTTTTTGTCTTCATTTTTAAATAGAGTATGTGGACTCTAATGGAATCTTTGTTACTG